GAAGTTTTCTTGCTCTTTCTGCTCCAACCAGACCAAGTTCTATCAATAAAACTGGCCCAAAGCTCTGAATTTGGATTTCAGAGATGGTCTTAAGATTTGAAGCCAGTAACAACAGAAGCAGTCAGATGCCCTCCAGAGCCACCTCCAGAGGAGCTGAACTAGCATTAACAGCACTGGAGAATGTTTGCAGTAGTATCTTGAGTGTGGAGAAACCCCAATGTTCCAGCATGCTGCTGCCAGTTCCCATCTTGATCCCAAGCATTTAACATTCCAACATTAGTTCCGTATCTCATAATGCCATTTATGTAAGGATTGCTCATTTGGTTCCCATTAAAATAATGGTATTTCTTCTGTAAACCACTGCCTGTAAAAATCAAGCCATGCAGTTTCTCTTTAGATTGTAATAAAGGAAATAAATAGTAGGATATACACACTATAATTCCCAGAGAATGCGAGGGCCTTCTTTCCCCTCATTGACATAAAAAGTTCAGACATCAGAATTAGGAATGTGAAAGATCTGTTAAGAGTTGATGAATCCATTCCCTGCAAAAATACATGTAGTTACTCCCCAGCAGATGTTCCTCAGGTACTATATTGATAAATGAGTCTACAGCTTCTCCATAGTCAGAGAGAGTCATTTCTCTCTTAAAATTTAAGAAATGGAAGGTACAGTTCTCTTAGGTCATCACAGTGCTGCTATACTTTGAGACAGTGTAGAATGATTCCTTGTATTGTACATACCAGCACTTTGAGGAATTCAGTTTCACATGTCTCAAACAATGGGGGTTTCATCGCTTCCTGTGGGAAGCCTGCTCTGCAGCCTAACTTGTTTCACCATCTGGAGCATTTTCCTGAGTGCCTGCCCACTTTAAACTTTCTTTTAATTATGTGCCCACTATTTCTTCTTAAAGGTAATTTGCCAAAAGTTTCTGTTGTGTGAAATTCACATTCTGTTGTGCTTTTTTATTTTTCATGAGGATTGAAGAAACCCTGAAAGATTCATGATTTCTTCTCTTTGCTTTTTCTTCCTCAGAAATAATAATAAGTAATTAATAATATATTACTGGTTTTTTGGCCATTCATTTCAGCGATTTTCAAGGAAGATCAACATTGTTGTACTCTTTTTACAGATAGGAAAAACTGAAGCACAGGGCAGGAAACAACTTGTCTGAGATCATTCAATGAGCCCGTAGCAAAACTTGGATTTTTAAGCAGGTCTCCACAGTACTGCCCTACTTTTTTCTTACTTTTTTATTTTTTTGGCCCAGTCTAGTTCCCTTTGGCTTTGTTGGAGAACCTAGGAAGGACAAACTTTCCATGAACTTTATTCAGAATTGCAATATTGTAACTGAAAGGTCAGCTTCTTGAATATTTAACAGTTACTATCTTTCCAGTGTGTTGGTCAAGCATCCTAATTAAGCAGTAATAAATAAAACCAACAAAGTATTTTAACAGACTAATTCAGTCCCTAGGGCCCCCTTGCTGAATTTCCTTCAGCTAGCCTGTGTTTTCCCAGTTGCAGATTGTGCAGATTGAACACTGTGTATATCAAGCACACTGTTATCAGCACACTGCAGGGAGATTTCCTTCCTCCTCAGTGCCACCATGCTTACTTTACCTGTCGTATTTCCCTTAGTGGTTTTCAGTAAGTGTGTTTCTCAGAATCTGAATAGTTGCTGAATTATAAATCTTCCAGTTTGGAATCATAACACTACAATGTGTACAGCATGATACACAGGGGAGGGAGCGATACTCAGGCAAGCCCTGAGCAGGCTCACCTGGATGTCAGAAGCAGTGTGGCCTGAACAGCACAGAGCTCTCTGTGGGCTGCTAAGAGATAGAGGGTTTCTCTTAACTTGCCTTAAAGCTTCTACCTGTACAGCCTGTCATTTCATTGAATATTTTTGGTGGGACTGGAGACACCTGAGCAGATGGTAAGATGAGTGTTGTTCCTCACCTCCACATGGGGAGATGAGGGCAGCCAATTCTGTGTGCTTGCATCTGGTGTGCAGGAGCCTCATAAGTGCCCCACACTCTGGAGAGTGAATTGACAGCACTCACCACATATGAGGTGCATCACTCTGTGTGGATTGAGAATTGAGAAATCAGGGCTCTGGTTAGGCCAGAGTTAGAGCTGAGGGACAGCACACAGATCCTCCTGGCTGCTGACCATTGTCAAAGTGTGCCAGCAAATGAAGTCTGTAATGTTATTCCCCTACTGCTCCTTCAGGCCTCCTTCATTCCAGATGTCATTGCACCAGCATCTGTGGATTTACTGAAAGTCACAGGACTGTTGTAGGTCACTGAGCACATTAGTTTGCTTTCAAATTGAGTTTGAGAAACTACCAAGTAGTGCCAAGCCTATGTCTCCTGGCTATGTGAATAGAGGAAACTAAGAAGCAATAATGATTACATAAAGCAGGGAAATCCCCCCAGACTTCTCCCAAACTACCTCATACTGAAGCTGATTTGCATACATTCAGTACAAATAACTTTGCAATGGCTTCTTGCCCCGTGAAAGAGTTACATGTATTTGCTTATAATGATATAATCAGGCCAGTTCTCCAAGTTGAATCACTTGGAGAAGATAACAAAAGATCAAATCAGAGCCTGTGTAGAAATCTAAGCAGTTTTATGTAGCACATTGACCTGCTTCAGGTGCAGATACAACTGGGTATTGCTATTCCACACAAAATCAATGGGAATTGTTCAGTACCTGTTAGTAACCAGCAGTTATTCTAGAAAAACTATATGGAAAAACTCCTGTGTTATGTTTTATAATTTGTGATTTTGGATGCGTGGTATAATACATAGCTTCCTATACAAACCCTGTTTGGTAGAAAATGGACCTTACTGAAAACTAGAAAAAAACTATGGTATTCTTGTAGTTAAAAATTATGGTCATCCACTTTACAAAACCTGAGACTCATCTGACCTGGAATTCCTGAGTGATGCTGTTAAAAAAGCAATGGTGTTAAACAGACTTCAAGATTCCTGTGATTTGTTTTAAACATCATGGTTTAAGAGAAACAAACAAGTTAGCAAAGAGAGACAGCATATTGAAAATGCACATTTACTGGGCTATCTAAAACTCAAAAATGTAGTTGGCTAATCTGACACTATAAAACTATTTTTCATTGTATTTTATGCACTAAGAATGACAATGTTCATAAGCCTAGTATATCATGACTATGGAAACGCCTGGATTCTTCTTGAAGACAGATGGTATTTTCTATTCCCTTTCTTAGAGAGTGGGGCTTGGGGATTTGGTTGTTTGTTTGTTTGATTGTTTTAATAGGGTAAGAATATAGACTTCGCAGAGGCTCACTACAAGCTGTTTCTTTGGAAAGAATTACTTGCCTACTCTTTCCTATCTTTTTATTGAAATAAGTTCTCAGATACATTTCCTGACAGTCCTCTCCCAAAGCTAGATGGAGTATAGACAACTTCACTTATTCTCTCCCAGTAAATTCACAGAAGGACATCCTGTACATTTTTTGGGTTGTCAAGCGAGCTCTATAGTAACATGAAGTACAGTTGGGTAATGCTGTAGATGCCTTGTAGTAAATACCAAAGCTGTTTTAAACAGTCTTAGAGGTGCTTTTGTCAGTGTAGCATATTTCCCTTGTGGAATATGGGAAATGAGAGTTATCATCATTGTCAATATGGTTATACCAGGACAGCTATATGACCAGCTCTTTTCTAGTGTCGTTGTTTTTTCATATAGTTAACAAACAGGGCTAAAGAGGAAGAGGAAAACTGAGACACAGCTTACTGTGACAACCTGCGTTGTCAGAGCCTTGCGTTTCTTCTACAACATCACCTCTGTTAATCATGGCTTGTTACTGTGAAATATCCTGCCTTTTACTTTCCTCCTTTAGGTTTATGGACTTTCTTTAAAGCTTTGGTGCAGCACAGTAGGAATCAGCAAGAATCAGCCCAGGTATGAGCTGGCTATTCTGTAGAGTCCTTCAGACACCTGAGGGCTCTCTGTGCAATGATGGAGTTTGTCTCAGTGGGTCAGCTGCAGAGACTGGAAAAAAAATATGTATTTGAATAGGCGTGAGATGCCTTGCAACACAGTTAATAGCAGCAAACCTGAGGACATGATGTGATCTGACTGATGCTTAGTACCTTGGATAGTTTGGCCCTGGTAACTGTGTGTGTTTCTTCAGTTTGCAGGCTGCTCAGGAAGGCTTTCATTTTCATTTTAAATATCTCCTCTCACAAACAACAGTCTGTTTTCTACATAAAGTTATATAATATCCTTTATTTACATAGAGAGCTTCATCCCAAAGTACTTTACCGCCTGGCATTGACAGAGGTCTAAGACTAGAAGAGGAGCAGCTTATACTGGTTGGGAGCAGGTTCTGATCTCAGCCTAGGTATTAAAAAGCATATAAAGTGGATCCATAATATTCTCTCAGAATCCAAGGCAATTTGCTATTAGTTAGAAAATAGATTGCTATAAGCTGTGCTCTGTTTAACTCTAGAAAATGTATTTGTACTGTCAAACATGAGCTCTATTAGACAATGTCCATCTTCTTGCACATCCCATTCTCTGTTCATAGGTGCTGGCTACCAAAATCAGTTCTATTGGAAAATTAGGGTGGTGCAAAGTACCCTAGCAAGTACACTATTCTCATCAAATACATGCTGGCCTTTGGAGAGCTCTGGCAAAGAATGGTAAAGGGGCCTCAACTAGTCTAAAGTTTGGCTTTAGAGCCCATCAGAAAGTTTGCCGGCCAGAATGAGAAGGAGAGTTTGGACACTGGTAACTAGAAGGACAACCAGACAGGCTGAATGAAGAGGATCATTATATGCATGTCAATCCATCTTCAGCAAATCTGTAACATTGGTTCATAGTGAACTTATTACCTTGATTTATTTTGTATACTAAATGGATGTCCAAGTGACTGTTTGCTGGAGGAAATGGCAACTTTGCAATCTCATTCAGAAATATTGTGACTGAGGTGTCTTGTCTTTATTGTGTGTTTCAGACCGAAAGGATCAAACTAATTTAGTTTGGGAAGGAACCAATCCTGCCCTGCAGCCCATACGAGTGAGGAACACTGCCCTGAAAGATACTTTACATGATGCTACTTTACCCAGCACTACTGGTGAGACTTCAAGAAGTACATCAAATCTATAGAAAGGACAAATGAAACCTCCCCAAAGACTTGAACAAATGATGACATTGGTTTTCAAAAATCTGGTGAAGCAGAGAGTGAGCATTCTTCTTCTTTCGTATCTTCAAAGATTAACTTTAAAACCAAGTGCTGTTCTTTGTATATGTGGAGCAATACTTAACTCTGAACTTATGAAAAACCAGTCTTTTGCTTAGGTTAATTTAAGTGACTTGATAATAAAAGCCTCTGAACAACATACATGGTACTGAAGAAGTGTAGGCCACACGTGCCTTCCTAATTATACCTCACTACCTCATCAATTTGGAGGAACCAGTGGCCAAGCACAGCAATGTCCACAGCCCAAAACACAGTGAAATGTTCACTTCTTTTTTTCAAGAGAATGATAAACCCAGTCAGTGGCTTGATTACGAAGCAATAGTGCAGTAAGTACTTAGTCCTGTAACTCACTTGGAAATCATCAGAGATTATGTAAGAGTTAAAATAGCTGGGCTCTGACTGTTCAGCATGTTAGGAGAACAAGTAGCAATCTAAAAGGTGGGAAGATCGATGTGTATTACAGCTGCTCAGCTTTCTCTGTCTTCAAAGCACTTTTGAAGTATTCACAACATGACTACAAACCACAGAACTGTTTACTCACCTTACAGACTTAGAGAATGTATGACTTGCTCAAGGCTACTAAAAGCATCACTGGCTGTGCTGTGATCAGGATCTGTTCCTTACTCTCAAACCTACAGGAAAGCCGTGGGTTCAGTTAGTGCCAGCTGCTGCTGCAGTCACCATTGGCCTGAGAGGCTGGGTCTGTCCTCCTGGGTCTGTCCTCCTGGGTCTGTCACAGGGAAAGCCTCCCTGAGCACCCTCTTGAGAAGCAGAGTAGCCTGTACAGAAATATGAGAGGTCTGAAGTACTGCCAAAGTGGCTGTAGGTGACCCAGCAAGGAAATGAGCTGCAGTGAGGCCACCTCAGGCAGCCAGGCAGGCAGGTTGCCATCTGCTGTTTGCTGGCCAGTCTGGGGGTGATAAGAGTGTTCCTGGGAGCACGTGGCCCCTACTAAAAAGTACTGCACACTGTTAAGGCTCGCAGTGCCAGAGATGTGGAAGCCGATGTTGCATCACTCCCAGCCACCAGACAGGATGGCATGGAGAGAACGTCTCTGCAGCTATCTGCTTGCACGCCTGCTCACGCAGCTTTGGGCTCTCCTTTAACAAGGAAGTTTCCATCATTTCAATAAGTTACTTCTAAAAGTTATACATTTCACCCTGGGGAAGAACAATTTTCCATCTTCAGTGCTACCAGTTTTGTGCTTTGAGGAGACCTTTGTAACATGTAATTTTAATTTTGTTTTAGCTAAGATTTAGATTTTCTTCTTGAAAGTGCTGCACTACATGCCACTCAAACCCTGCTGAACTTGCTTGTATCCATTTTATCTGAGTATCTTGTAAATATTTGGTAGAGCACTCAGACAGAGAAGTGTTTTTTGCTCTTACAGTCACATGCCTGGTTCCAGGACCTTTAAGAAGTACAATAGACTGAAGGCAGGGAAAATTCCACTGAGATGCATTCAAGTCTCCAGGGAGCAACTGCACTCTGTTTAGATTAACATTTCTCATTGCTGTCTCTCCCTATTTAAAAAAAAAAAAAAAAAAACAAAACAAAAAACTGGAAGGATTGAGAGGGGAAGTTGGAGGGTTTCATTATTATAAACACCAGAATGCAAGCAGTTTTCACTCATTTCTGTCATATTGCAGAGCCATTTGCAGTTGGAGAGGGAGATAAGATTTTCAATGCTCTCTGCACTACCTGGGAAATCTCCATCAAGTTTTAAAATGTTTTACAAACATTAGTGAATTAATCCCCATCTTCTCATCCCCATGAAGCAAGTACAGTTTAAAGACAGGGCTGATGAGACTAAAATAGTTGTGCTTTGCTGAGGTCACAGGGGCAGCATGGTAACAGAACTTGGGTCTTTGAGTCTCAGCTTTCTGTTTTACACCAAAAACAACACACATTCCTTCTCTTTCCAAGACTTGCTGTATTTCCCTTCATAGGATATGGTGAAAACATGCTGGCATCACACCTTGAAACAACCTTGGGTTTTCCCCCTTGCTCACAACCGCTGTCCCATGGAATTAAGATGTTGAAAAGCTTAAAGAGGGATGTGAGGTGGGGAAAAAAAATCAAGTCACTGCTCTATCTGCCTTGGGCATCCATTGCTAACAGTGGAGTTGGTATTCTGTTGCGAGCAACCTCAAACATGTTTGTATGTACTTCCATATAATATTCAGGCAGAACAGTGGTAAAAATGCCATCATCAACAAGAGAGCTTGGCTGACAAGAAAATTGGACAGATGAGCCAATAAGTCACCTCTGTATTGAATGGATGTGATTTCATTATCCTTCTGTATGTGACCTGCATTTCTTACTGCTTCTTATTATTAGCATCCTGTAACTACAGCTGCAGCCATCTCTTTTACCTGTTCAGAAGAGAGGGATAATCCATCAGCCAGTTCTTTTTCTATTATATCAGTGAGATTTTTACCAGAGGGATTAATGGTTAGTTGAAGAAGGTTGTTCCCAACAGGGCCAAGCAAAAAGCAATGTGCACAAAATGAAGTAGGAGACAAGGAAACACATCTATAGATTAAAAGCTCTTAAATTATTTTCCCCTTAGCTTCCCTCGTTCACACTGATAGATAATCAAACATGCAAAGCTGAATGTATATTGACAGTGACCACTGTAAGCAGGACTCGGAGCTTCTCACACTGTGCAAACAAACCTGAAGTCATTCAGCTACCAAAACCAGATCTGTATGTACCAGCTGTTCCAGCCTTTGTAGGTGAGAGACCTTGAGACCTGTCTCTCCTGTGACCTTCCGATGTATCCCAGCACTGGAACTTTCGGCCTCTTAACACTGTTACCTTTTGTGACAAGGCTCCAGCACTGGCCCTTGGGTAGGCTGCTTCTCCAGCACTCTTCCCTGAGAGGATCCAGACTCAGTGCAAATGCTGTGTACAGTGCTCATTTCATTCCCTGCTGAAAGGCAGCCAGACCTGAGGTAGAACATGGCAAGCGCTTCGCCGCACCTGGCAACTGCACACAGCTGCTGAAAACAAGCAAGGAAGAAAGCAGTGTACAAATGCAGGGGAATTTTCACATAGGCAGGATGTAATTAGCAGAGCTGGAATTTGGCCAGCTCTGCTAATTTGGCCAATTGGGGGTTAAAACACTGGCTTGCAGGTAACACACTGGGATCTTTCATAATTCAAATGCTCAGGATCTCCCATTTCCATTTTACCTGGAAGATGTCAAAAGACTGTTCCTTATTTAATGGTCACAGGCAGCTCTCAAACATCTGACACAAAGGAAGAAGTGTCTAAATGGTGCTGCACCTGCAGAGCTTCTCTGCCAGCAACTGCCCACCATGAACAACAGCTGAAAAGATCACATCCTGATAGGACCATGGCTGCACCACTGTGAAACACACCTCCATGCCTTGGGGTTCACTTCACCCCTAACTCTCATTATTCAGTTTTCAGACCAAATCCCTTCCAAACAGAAAGAGAAGATGATAAAATTAGGGCAGCACCTTACACACAAAACACAAGAGAGAGAATATTACCATTAGGTGCTGCTTCAAACTTATTCTCTGCCATTAGATATAATATCAACTAGCCATTGGACAACAGAGAATTTACATGAAACACTTTTCCCCAGTGTTGATGAGTGAGCTTTTCCAACTGGCCTTGCTGGTAATACACAGAGTGTGAAGAGCTTTTGCCGCCTTCTTCCTTCCAGCAGGGAAATCGTGTTCAAAGCAGCAAAACATTCTTTTCCACTTCATGATCTGATTTTCAGTATAAACAATTTTTCTGTTTACTACAAGGATGTTGAATGTCCACAAAAGATCAGGGAAGTCATTCATGAACCTCACGTGTATAAATTCTGCATGATGTTTCTACCATTATGAGGCCCACAGTATGAAATATAAATTGAAAATCTCTAACCCCTTGTCAGTCAGACCTGCAGACGTGCCCAGTCAAAGAGGTGTCTTCCCCTGTGTGGTGCAGTGTGTGCAAGCAAAACAAGAAGTGTTCTGCCATCTGAAAAAACATAATCTCTGCATCAGTAAGTCATAAAAAAGGGACCCCCTCCTCTGCCTCTGAGAGCTTACCATACCAGCCTTTGGTTTATTTGAGGGGGTATGGTTTGTATGCCCAGGCTGCCATGGAAGCCCCCTCTTTGTTAAGTGTTGTTTAATACAACCACCAACAAAATTTGATGAGAGTATCTCAGTCAGTGGTACAGCAAACCTACAGACAGCCTCTCATGGCAAAATGCACTTGGGAGAGTAAAGAACGGGCAGCTGCAGGCAACAGGAAATCCAGCACTAATAAATAAAATGTCTTATAGCCAGAAAGAGGAAATAAACAGCAGCAGCCCAAACTGAGAGGACAGAAGAGAGCATAACTGTGGCATGGGAATCGCTGAGTTTACAGTGAGCTTATTTTTACAGAACGTTGTTCCAGTTTGTTATGTGTTCAGACTGCAAAAAGAGTGGGGGAGTGGGGGGACTGCTCAAAGAGAGGGTCTCTATCAGAAGTTGTCAACAACCACTGTAATTAAGGAAGCAGCCAGAGCACACACAACCAAAGCTGCTGCCAAAGTGAAATGAAAGCATTTTTTGTTTTCAGCTGTAGCCCCAAAGGATAATAAAAGATGGTTCTACTATGCCAAGTGAGGAGCTGCAGGGACACCGTTTCTAGATGGCTCTCCTCCCATCTTTCCAAAATTATACACTGTGGGGAAGCAGCAAGTTACTGTTCCTAAGTGTGCTTTCAAAGCCCATGCCTGCACACCCCACTGACTGCAGCCACCTGGGAAGGCCAACCGCAAGACAGGTGGGCCCCCAACCACCATGGTGACAATGGAGGTGGCACCAGCTGAGCTCTGCCCCCAGCCAGTGGGCTGTTCTGGCACTGCTTGGTTCAGACTGATGAAGCAGCGACACTGAATTTTTCTCCCCTTGCCCTCAGCTATGGGTTTCACCACAGCCCCACAGCATAGCCACCACCAGTGGGAGCTGCCACGTTCAGAAGAGCCACACCCCACTTTCCTCCTGAGGGCAGCTGCATTTAGGGGCTCACTGGTGTCTTGGCAAAGACCTTCATTCATGGCACACCAGCACTGTGCTCTTCTCGCTGCTGACAGCAATGGTGGCGGGTGCCCATGCCGCAGCA